GGCTGGAGTCATATATATTGAAATGACTGAAATCAAAATTAAATAAAACAATATCAACAAAAAGACAGACATCGACAACCTCAGCAAAATTTATTCATTTTTACTAACAAAAAAATATAAATCTGAATACATCCTGTAATATTAACAAAGTATAAATCACCATGATGAACGACAATTAAAAAGTAGAAAAAGTATTTCACATTATTCAATGTCAAAAAGTTGTCATTTTGATGTTGAAGATTTCTTTCAAAATTGAAATTTCCAAATTGAATATCCTCACATAGCACAGGTATGCTGTTTTATCCGTTATTATGTTTTATATATATTTATCATGTCCTTTATATATTACAGCCCTCGATAAAGCTAATAAACATTAGCGAAAGCTCGGGCAGCTAAAAAGAGTAATATTTATTCTAATCAGACCGAATCCCCGAAAAGAATTTTAGAAAACATTTACACAATCATCTCCGCAATTCAGATTTTCATACATATCCAACAAGAAATGGTAACTTCATTACATTGGAAAAACATTCAACTAATTTATATGTGAACAGTCTACGTAGGAGTAAAGCTTTTTAATAATCTTCCCGATTACATAAATAGGGAAAATAAAGAAATGAGTTTCAAACAAACCCTGAAAAAATTCTTAATCAACAGTTCTTTTTACAATGTTGCTGAATATCCAAGTCGAGTGTATTGTATAAATATTTAATATACTTTTTTTTTTTTCCTTGTGTTTGTGTGACACTTTCATGTATTTATTTGTTGTAGTTGTATCTCACGTTTTGTAAATATTTTTATGTATGTATAATGTCGACGTATCCTATATCAACTTGTGATCATGAAGAATTTAATGAATTATTATTATTATTATTGACAGCAATCAGAGATTCAGAAATATACTGCTTGCCAATCACAACAGTAATATCCCTCAAGAACATAACATTGGCGATAGCACCAAAAAAAAATTGTACCAAAGGAAGAAGGGTTAGGTGGAAGAATATTTTGTGCCTTGTTTATACAACACAATCAATTCATAAATGTGCTCAGACTTGATTTTTGACATTGCTAAGTAATAAAAGTTGGCACTAAAACGAAGACTCATTCATGAAATGTGGACTTCTCGGATATCTACTCAATTACATAATAATAATTCCAATTGTCCGGAAAATATATATCAATGCGAGTAAATACATGCATATTTATAAGGGTGTTATTATTTCAAATGGGTCACACTGTATATACAAAGTCACCCTTCGCCCCAAGCGACGGTACAGCCAAGTATGGCTTATAATTTATAATAAGCAGAGGGTTGTCTAAGTGCAGCAGTTTAGTTGAGGATTATCTTTGCAGAATGAGTGACTGTTGAATAGCATTCGAATCCATCCCTAAAATCCCTGCCCTAGCTTTACAGTTCGCGCCTCGGGCGTTGCAACTTTTTTTTTGAACAATCAAGTCGGCTGTGGTTTGATATTTTGATTTACTGAACCGCCGTTGTGAGGCGGCGTGGAAGTTAAATCTTCGAAAAAAAATGATATAGACAAAATGGTTCAGATTTTCGCGGCTGAGGTTTTCAGTGTCCTTGTTTTTCGAGTTTGAAAGCCGTGGATTTTTGGAATTTCTTCCTGACGTTTCTCTGGCGCGAGTGGCTAGCTTCTTAAGAGGTTTAACCATCATGGCTTGTTGTCCGATGACTAACTTTTAGGCTTCGTGAAGCGTATTTATGCCTTGTCAGGTAATCAGTTATAGTGGTACCTGTATTTGTACCTGTGCTTGTACCTGCACTTGAACCTGGAACATTAACAATCGTGCTGCCTGTTTTCCTGTTCGTTATTCTCGAATTCCTTAAAATGGGGTTCCAAATTTTCCGTGTGTTTGTGGATCTCTATTGCCTTCCGTACCAGTCAGCTGTGGTATCCCTGGTTGGGGGCAATTAATTCTGTGTTTTCAAACAAAATTATGTGTTCTCCTTCACTAAGTGCGTGTTCTGCCACAGCTGACTTTCCGCTTAGCCTAGTCTGCAGTTCCTTTTATGCTCTTTCAGTCATGTAGTGTCTTTGTAGAGTTCCATAAACACACGGAAAATTTCAACAGAAAAGAAGAAGCGGTGAACCTCAATCGAATATGGAACCCCATTTTAAGGAATTCGAGAATAACGAACAAAATGACAACAGACAGCGAGATTGTTAATGTTCCAGGTTCAAAAACAGGTACAGGTACAAGTACAGATAGATGAATAGATAGATAAATATTCTTTATTCGTTCATGTGTACAATACATAATACCCAAACGGGTGTAGAATACGTCAATAATAAAAATGAGTTTGAAAATAAAATAAAAGAGTGGATGAGAAAACTCGTAGGTGGAAATATAATAGCTTATAAACTAAACTTACATATTGAAAGGATGTTTTTACCTATGGAGAAAAACATTTTATAAGTTGTACAATTATATAGGACTGTCTTCTGTATTAATACAGACTGTCTTTTGTATTAATAACTGCTTAAGTTGATGCTTCACTTTATTAATTGGCATTTTCTTCAGATTATCAGACACATTATTGAAAATGTTTATGGTTTATGGTTCGCATAGGTTCTTAGGCAGATTGATATCTCTGTCTTGGGCCTGCGACTGAAAGCATCTGCACCAGAACCGGAAGGTGTACCAACAATTATCTGCTTTCAATATGTCCTTCTCCTTTTTAGGTAGCTCAGCCTTTAAAAATGCTTATTCTCAATTCGATGTATAAAATTATCAAAATATGTGATTACCTGGATGAGAATTACGATTGTTATTATCTTAATTATACATCCAAGTGGTTATAGCATTTAAAAGAAGAAGTTCTGATGCGTAATAATAGTCCTGTTTATTTTGCTTATCCCTTCATGCGTTCAAATCAGTATTGATTGTGATAGAAATATCTCTTACAAAAATAACGAAGCTTTAAGGGAGGGAATTTTGCTTTCAAAACATCGTTACACCTTTGTTGAAAACTATTATTAGCACAAAACCAACAAAAAACAGAAAAATCTTTATCTTTTTCAGAAAACTGTTTGTTTATATCAGTATGTTGAGATAAAAATCGACTATGTTCTAGAAATGTTCTGTTATCAGGCATCGACAACCTTTACGTTGAGCTGATGAACATGATGACGACGTAGTCAAAAATGTGTTTGGTTAAAATCGGGCGTCAACTTATAAGTCACAAAATGAATAATTGCAAACTCAAACTGTTATTCTTGTTTATGGTTTGTTTTGTGGTTGGTGTTATATATTGTACGAGAATTGGGTTTAACCGAGGTGAGTTGGATAGCATCATGGAAGCTAGTGAGTATCTAATATCTACATTTTAAGGTCCAGAATGTAATAATTGATTTTTTAAATACAAATTTTTGATGAGACGTACTGAATGAATGAAAAAAATGGAATGTTTTTCTGAGATAACGCATTAATCAGGACTAGATATGTGGGTGATATCCTCGTTGGGTTTGACGGTTTGACGAGATAGTAAATCAATTCCTGAACTTTTCACGATAAAATAAAATTCACAAAAGAAATTGAATTGAACAATATCATTAACGTTCTCGAACTCATTATTACCAAAATCAATGATGAAGTTTAATTTTTGATTTTTAACGCGCTTTTATTAGCATCACTTGTATGTTTGTTTGTAAATGACTCCTTTGGACTCGATTTTGACTAACTTTAAACGTACAGATTTATTTTAAATTTTATACACGTATCAAGAATAGGCGACAATACAATAATTTCATCAGTTCATCCCATTAACCTGATCAGGATCGCCAGGATTGAATAATTTCCTCACAATGTCTCTGTGTGAGAACAAGTTTGAAATAGCAAGAAAAACTAAAAAGTGTAAGATGAATAATAGTTGAAAAAACTAAAAAAATACGCTTTAATAGCAATAAAAGCTAAAAAATAATTCGAAAATAATTTAAGATTGTGTTCAACATCGATAAGAAGTACTTTGGCTGATGACTTTTAATAAGTTTGAAATTAGAATGAATCTATTCACAAAAAAATTAATTTTGTTGTTTTATTAGATCCACTTAGTAACTAACAGCTACATCCACCAATTTATAGTAAGAATAATTCACGGAACATGTTATTCAAAGCAAAACCCAGAAGAGATAAATGGAAAAAATCAGGAATATATAGACTAGAATGAGTATATATTTCATGGCTCATAGTCACGTATACTGGTTGGAGTGGGGCCCTACGAACACCAGAGAGATTATCCAAATTAGATTCCTGAAGTTGATTTTAGAAAAACCCCACCGATATCCTACAAATATTTTATTCAAAGAATGTGAGATATTGGATCTCAGGCAACTATATTTTTTGAATGTTATATTAAAATACCAAAGACACCATTATGCTGTTCCATAGATTAGCAAATCTGTTTGTCAGCGATCATTTTTTTTATATAACACCGCGGGCGTTCAATTTCATTCCTGACCATATTAAAGAAATAGTGAACACGTTTGAAAATAAGGTAAAACGATTCATATACGAAACACAAAGAGCCAAATGTAATGAGATCGTTGAACCAAATTTCTCCAACTGATTCATTTCATTTTATTTTATTTATACACGCCTTTTTGATTTTTCATGGACGGTTTAATTTTTATTTTCATAACTATATCTTATTCAAAAATGTTTGTACTTTTGAAATGATCTTATTAATGTGTTTGCCTTTTTTTTAAGTATTCTGCTATTGCCATTTTTTAGCGTATTCCTTTATTTGTGGTGTTCTTTTATTGGACTGAATATTTTTTCTTTTTATGTAGTTAAAGTAATTTCATCTCGAAAGAAGTGTTTGCTCACTTATCGAGTAGGTATCATTTATGAAATAAGAATGTATTTTATGTATACATTCTCTCTCTTTTCATTAATAAATGACATTATTATTATTTTCCTGTTCTGTTTCCTGTTCAGGACTCGAATATGAAACATTCCGTCTCGATCTTGTATAGAGATTGTTACTGTATATCAATAACCATACAGCTGATAGGAAAACAAAACTATATAGTCCATGTAGAGAAATCATTTATCAATCCAGTGCTCCGAGAGAATCATCAAATAAAAAGAAATGTGTCATGTGTTATTCAAAATTTAATTATCAGTCGTTGGAAAGCTGAACCGATAAAGATATGTACGAGATTAACGCAGCCAAAAATGTATTAGATATCAGAAGACAACTTAGAAACCACACATTACGTATTTGAAGTCAGAAGATGTTGCAACTTCTGCCATATTCTCTTCTGTATCTTTTCATAGTTGGTGTTGTGTTTGGTGTTGGAGCATATACGGAAATCAACCCTAACCAAGGCGAAAGTGATGATAATATTGAAGAACCTAGTGAGTATTTTACACATATCGAATCCCAGAGGATAACTGCGGATTTGAATATTAGTCGTGGGGATTCATCCTTCATAGAATTTGATTACAAAATAAATATAAACTAGTTATCTCATACCAGTGAGTGAAAATTCTACCTTGATCAATTTCTTATCATTTGTTTGCATATTAATATATCATTATTGAGCTCATATCAGTGTCCGTATCACACATTAGTGTATCAATATAGATTCATAACAATATAACATATATTTATAAAAGTAAGCATATGTACATCCCTTCATCTATGATATTATACAATAAACATGCAATCTTTAACAAATATGGCCAATTCATTGAAGGTATATTTGAAAAGGTTAGTAAAAATTGAAAATTTAACATTTCCACATCAATAGTGATGACCACTTCATCCTTGTCGTATGGTGAAACCATAATTGAATTGTAATTAGTCTGTGCAGTTACGCTCACTTCCAAAAATGAATCCAAAGTAGTATTTACTACTGATGATAATCATTTTTTTTTAAATGCATTTTCCGTTATTATATTTCTTCAACATTGTGATATCTAATATAGTTTTTTCATTTGTTAAGACCGGTTTCGATTTGTTAAGCCATTTTCAAGTAAACAGCTTGAACTTGAAAAAGCTTTTACAAATTGAAACCGTTCGTAACAAATAAAAGACAGTAAAATTCGGACATAAGTTAATTTCTTCATCCTATGTTCAATATGAAATTCTACAAAATAAATAGGTCATCAATCAAACAACTGATATCTAATCTTTTAGTTCAGACTTGGAAAGTTCAAATATAATGAATAGTTCGATCTTGATAGAATCGAACGTCATTTTTAGTGGAGTTTATAAAAATCAACGGGTTCAATAAAGAATTATCAAGAATTGGTGAGACCAAGTCAACGAAAAGCAGACGCTTTTTATTACACGCTTTATATTAGCTTCACCTGTATGTATGTATGTTTGTTTGTAACTCTCAAGCTTGGGATCTGTATTGACAGAATTATCGGCATTATTGCTTGATCTATTCGGGGGCAGATGGCGCTGTACGTAACCCCATTGATATTTCTTGATCTATTCACGGGCAGATGACGCTGTACGTAATTATCAATTATTGCTTGAGTTACTCGCGGGCAGATGGCGCTGTACGTAATTATCAATTATTGCTTGAGCTATTCTCGGGCAGATGCCGCTATACGTAATCTCCTTGATAGGTTGTTCAAAAGAAAATCAAAATAAAAAACCTATTTTAAGAATCATAAGTGTTAGCGAAATTTTGTACTACAGATGAAGTATTTAAATATTGAAAATTACCCGTGATTCAGTACAGAGAAAGGTTTTGAACGAAAGAGAAGATACATTTTAAAATCTAATTCGATTATTTGAAAGGAAACCAGAATATGGATTTCAACAATGAAAACTTTGTCGTAAATTGTACACCTAAAAATTCAGTTACTCAAATATTTCAAAAAATCGAAAAATAAGAATTAAGGTGCTTGACATAAATATCAAATCAAAAGATTGATTTATGGTATCAGTATATGATGATGATGTTCCGGTAGACACGTATTATTTTGTCCAAAACTAATAAAATTTCTGAGGGTGTGCCAAATTTTATTTGTCTGGGAGGTACTCAGTCTGCTTGAAAAATAAGCCTTTTTATCTCTTTTCATAGCTAAGGTTACCATATTCCTCATTTGCTTGTAATGATTAAAATCAGTTGATATTCCTGATTTTTTGAACAACACTTATCCCTTATCTCTATTCTTCATCATGAGTTTAGTTGTATCTGTGAGCCAAGGAGCATATGGTTTGGTGATTCTGTAAGTAACAGATGGTGCATGTATATCTGAGAGTTTGGTGATGTTATCGACAAAAAAATCAACTTTGTTGTCTATATCATTCAGTTCATAAATTATTTTCCATGGTATTGATTTCAGATGTGAATGAAATAAAGGATAGTTCAAATGTTTGAAGTCTCTAGTAGTAACAAAACATGATGTGGAAAATCTAGCAAAAACAAGTTCATGATCACTCACCTCTGGTACATGTTTCACTCCTATATCCGCTGCAATATCTTCATTACTTGCTAGTACATAGTCTATTAATGTAGGTTCATCTATCATTTGTTTTAGCCCCAGAAATGTAAAGGTATCGTTTGCTATCTCTGAGCTTCTGCTATTACAATCAAGCAGATCGATATTGAAATCACCCAGACAAAAAACTTCATCAACAGTTGTAATGAATGTTGAGTTTTCAGTTTCAAATTTGTTAAAAAAATCCGAATAATTTTGTTGTGGAGGTCTGTATATGACTCCAATACCAAAAATATTCAACTTCAGATTGACTTTGATCTGAATTTGCTCAATGTCATTCGATGTTGGAATTATTGATGTTTCCAATCCGTCTCTAACGTAAATATCAACTTTCCCACCCCAGCATGGAAAAATTTAAACCCATTAATATTGACATAGTCATTGGTAATAGACCTATTCAGCCAAGTTTCACGAACACCAAGAATATCGATGCCAGCCAATAACATCAGATTACTCAAATTATTGATGTGTGGAACAATTAAGAAAATGTAATATTTCGACCTATTCAATATAGACAACCGATGAAAATGGTATCAATCACAATAAATCATTTAGAATTTAAAATAGTGTAATTCCAGTAATGTTCTTCAACAAAAAAATAAAAATATAAAGAAAATTCAATTTGAGTTCCCACAAAAAAATAAAAAAAATTATATACCCTGTATTTTGAGATGCAGTTCACTGTAACGAGTTCAAACAGAAATTATTGATTTTATTTAAAGAAATTTTTCCGTAATATAATCACGAAAGAGAAGAAAAAAAAGTCTTCTGTATTAGCCACTCCCTAGAAAGTCTTATAACTATAATTCATGTGCGTTGATTGGCATAGCTTACTGCTTGTTCAGGGCCTACACTTGGAAGGTCATCTTCACTTGTGATTCGTGACCTTATATTATTGATATTGGCATAGACATTACCTCTCCAAGTCCAGCAATTTTTCACACCTGGTCTTTCTCGCACTTTATTAAGTAAATCACGATTTTCCGGAAAAAGCATTTCACTCATTGAGATACCCCGGATGTCAACTATATCACTTCAAGGTATGACTTTCACGGTTATAATATATTCATTCAATTTTCCACTCATTCCAATCACTTACTTCAATAGTAAATGGGCCAACGATGTTTGAACAAACTCATTACTAATAACAAAAAATAATTATTAGTTACTTTGTCTAAAATATTTTCAGTATTTCAGATTCATATTGGACCTATCAGTGCAGCAACTCTGTATGCGACAGAAGAAGAGTTGAAGCCAAAATAATGACTCTGGAAACATGTAACATGATGTGTGGTACGCCTTCCCTGTGGCCCTTGCCCAGATCAATGAATATCACGAGCAAAACTTCATCCACGATTGATATAAACAAGATGGTAACTAGATTCCATACTCCGGTTGCAGTGAAAACGGATCTGAAAAAGGCATTCAGAATATTCAAACGCAATTTGATATATCTGAAAAACAATTATATTGAAGCTCCAGCTAGAGAGGTTCAGGTTATAATATTTGTTGCAAGTGACGTAAGAAAATTGAAACTCTCAACAGATGAAAGCTACAGTCTCAAAGTGAAATACGATGGCGAGGATAGCATTTTGGCAAATATCTCTGCTTCAACTTACTTTGGTGCCAGACATGCCCTGGAAACTTTGAGCCAACTAATTTGGTTGGATACCGATAACGACCATCTCAAAATCCTCCATGATGTTGATATTGAAGACGGGCCAGAATTCCCATACAGAGGTATCATGATCGACACAGCAAGAAACTATTTTGCTATCGACAGCCTTCGGAAGGTTGTAGACGGGATGGCTGCTACGAAACTGAACGTTCTCCATTTGCATTTGACAGACGCTGTTAGTTTTCCAATAGTTCTTCCTACCATTCCGGAATTGGCGAAGTATGGGGCCTATGGACCGGATAAGATTTATACTGCGGAAGATATAAAAGGTGAGAATCCGGCAAAATATATCGTAACATTACCTTTAATAAATCTGAATAGATACTTCTCCTAAAAAAATATTACATATTATCAAAATCTCATAATAAGAAGGATTCATTACCTGGATTATCTATTGAAGACCTATTGATTTTGTGTGTCACAAATATTGGTGTTACACCCAAATTCACTTGACTACATTAACATTTCCGGATTTTATATCATTTCTACAAACATCTGGATTCTTCTTTCGATATCATTTCAAGAGAGCTTCTCAAATTACTGCTAATGCGGTAGTTGGTTTTGGAAACTGGTCAATCCACCATCGCATCCATAAAAACTTGGCAAGCAAACTTGGGTGTCACACCAACAGCTGGTTCCACTTATGTTTCGCTTGCTTTCGCGTAGTGATTGTCATTTAGTATTTTTCTTGGTTTTTTACAGTTTATAAACGGCTAAGCGCTCCATGCGCACGTTGACAGACATGAATATCTTGTGCTAGAACCAGATGAGCCTACGTACTATCGCGGGCAGACTAAGCCTGACGTACTAGACATCGCGCTCCTCAGAAACGTCTCTCTGACTAGCGAAATTTACATTCTGTCGGAACTGGATTCCGATCATAATCCAGTAATTCTGCTATTGGGCGATGATCTTCCTTCCCCTGATTATCGCATGAAATATAAGACGAACTGGGGTACTCGACTCTCCCGACGAACTCGACGCAGCAGTCGATCGTTTCAAGCTTTCCGTGAATGATGCGTTTCGAGCGGCCACCTCCAGGGAGAAGTGTCCGCTGAGGAGCTATAATGAGTTTCCCCCTCGTATCAAAGCCTTGATACGAGAGAGAAATCGCCTGAGAAGGCTCTACCAGCGAACCCTTTTCCCAGGGGATAAAATTGCGGCAAATAAGATGGCCAACCAAGTCAAACAGGCCATCACTGATCATCGAAACGAAAGGTGGGAAGAGTTTTTGGAACCTGGGAGTGACGAGCTTTGGCGAGTCACTCGCAGGCTCAAGGGGAAGAAGACTGCTCTCTCACCCATTCACGGAGAGGGCGGAGTGTGCTACTCCCCGCCAACAAAGCGTTAGCCTTTGCTGACACGATGGAACGTCAGTTTCAGCTTAACTTTGACGACGACATCGACCGCGATATGCTGTTGGAAGACCTGGTTCACCGAATCCTCAGGGAAGATGATGACGACGACATCCGTCCAGCTTCTAAGGAAGAGCAAACGCCAAGAAAGCCCCGGGGGTCGACTCAATAACTAACAAGTTGTTGAAGAGGCTCCCAGACAATTGCGTCGAATGCTTACTAAATATCATAAATAGTTCGTTGGCCCTCAGACACTTCACCAGAAGGTGGAAGCATGCGATCGTCGTCATGATCTCAAAACAGGGTCAGAACCCGCTGTTCCCACAGAACTATCGCCCGATCAGTCTATTCTCGTCGGCGGCTAAGCTGGCTGAAAGAGTTGTTCTCCAAAGGCTCAACGAAGAAGTTGAGGACCGAAATGTTCTGCATGATGAACAATTTGGCTTTAGGAGAGAATACTCCACTGAGTTACAGGCTCTAAGGCTGGTCGAAAACACCATCAAAGAGCCTAATTCCAACAAAAAACTACACATTGTGCTACTTGACATCTCGAAGGCCTTCGACCGTGTTTGGCACGAAGGTCTTCTGCACAAAGTAAACGAGTTCGACTTGCTTCGGGGCCTCATCTGGTGGATTGGGTCTTTCCTGAAAGACAGGACATTCCAGGTTAGAGTAGAGGGATCTCTGTCTGATTACAGAAAGATCCTTGCTGGAGTGCCACAGGGGGTCGTGCTCTCTCCGACGTTGTACTCACTTTACACCAGTGACCTTCCAAGGCCCTAGCGTGTGAATATATCTCTGTACGACGATGACACGGCTCTCCTCTCATCTTCCATGGGTCGACAGCTCGGCGTCGTCTACATGCAACGTGCATTGGATGACCTGGAGCGCTGGTACCTTGATTGGAAGATCCGAGTGAACCCGGAAAAGACTCAGGCGATAACCATCTGAAGACTGAAATTTTCTCCGGCCATAAATGTGAGAATCTCTGGAAGGGAGATTGACTGGCAATCTCCCTTCCGAACATAATGAGCGTCAAATCGAAGATCGAGGGTCGGATAGCTAGTCTGTACCCTCTCATCAACAGGAAATCAAAAATGAGTTTAAAGAACAAAATTGCCATCTACAATACGATGTTCAAGCCTGTCAGCATGTATGCTTTAGGCGTCTGTGTGCAAGCGGCTACGTATAATATCTTCACTCTGGAGAGATTACAAAACCAGTTAATGAAGGTGATTGTGAATGCTCCTTGGTTCGTGCGGGATGAAGCCATCCGCAGAGATTTGCAGCTGCCTTCCATTCGGCAGTTCATTTAGTTGAGGAATCGGCGAGTTTTTGGTAGCGCGGAAACTCACGAAAATCCGTTAGGGAAGCTATAGATTATGCTGTAGACGTCCCCTCTCGATATAGAAGGCCCCGACACTTTGTCGAATGAAGCCCTCATTTCCCCCGTTAACGGACGAATAGATTTTTCATCCATCCCATCCCAGCCAGGTAGGGGTACCCCGTGAAGGGTGGTACTGATGTGTGAGGACTTCATACCGCCAACATCTCCTCAGTCATGAACCCATTTGTCCTTCTTCGACAAAAATCAGCTGAAAAGGTAGGGGAGCCGGGCTCCAACCTGATTGAACTGAAGACGCTTATCTTCAATCGAGAAACGCCTACTGATATTGATCAATCGATTCTTTCATATAATCAAAGATGTTCACATCTAGAAGTCGTGAAAATTAACTTAGCTGGAGCTGTCAAGTCATTGAGATCCTCACTTGGCACCATCATACACAAAATGAAAAACCAGTGACTTCCGAACTTTATATCATTATATATTGAAACCATTGATGCAATACATTGAATATGAGTGGCTACAAGAGCAATATTAGATTATCTGATGTTTTGGCACAATTATGTCGCTGGAATTACAAAGGCTGCTTCTCATAACTTTGGAAAACTGTTCCAAACCAGAAAACTGTACACACCTCAACAACAACTTGCTCCACAAACCTCAGATCAGCCCTTCTTTGGATTATTGTTCTCATGTATGGAACTTCGCCTTTAAGCATACCTTGAAGATGCTGAAGATTCCATCCAGAAAAGAGTCATTCGCCTGATTGGAGACGCGAACATCATTTAAAACCTTGATAGTCTGAAACATCGAAGAAAGGTTGGAGTTTTGTCTCTGTATTATAGATTTATTCACTGTTTAAGAACTCTTCTATCTGGAGAACTGAGTTTATGTTTAATAAACTTCCTGAAAAGGTTTTTCCAAATGAATTTAATATCCAGCGATTCAAATCCAACGTGAATTGCTACTTTCGCACAGGCACAGCGCCTGGATATTCTTATAGTGCTTGGGTTTTGTGATTGAAAAAAAAAACTTGACGAAAACATCATTAACATACCTTCACCATATCTTTGGATCCTGATAACCTTCCTTTCCTTAGGTCGAACAAATGTTTGTTTCTGATATTGTCTATTGCTTTCAGATCTGATAGAATATGCGAGAATAAGGGGAATCAGAACAATTCTAGAAGTGGATGCACCAGGTCATGTTAACGAAGGTTGGAATCGTCTCAACAAAAGAACCGGAAAGCTAATAATATGCGGAGAAACCGAGGTCACCAGTGGCCAACTTAATCCTGACAACCCAAACACACTGAAAATATTACGAACCATTTACGAAGACCTCTTTGAACTTGGTACCGATGCCGAAATGTTCCATATTGGTGGAGATGAAGTAGATATGAACTGTTACGCACAGACACAGGCTGCTAAAAAGTTCAAAGACATTAATCAGTTCTGGATGAATCTCACGAAAGACATCTTCGAAGCAGTGGTTGAGGCACATGCCGATGAGACTCTACAAAACTTGATAATATGGTCCAGCCCCTTGACTGATCAATACCTGAGTCAGTTGAACTACAGCAAAAATGTCGTGGTACAGTTTTGGTATGGTAACCCTTACTCTATGATACAGAATGGGAACAAAATTATTTTCTCAACAGTTGGAAATTGGTACCTAGACTGTGGATTTGGATCATGGAGACCCCAAAGCCAAGATGGATCCTGTGATCCATACACTCCGTGGCAGACTTTCTACAAGTACAGACCCTGGTGGCTATATGCTGTTCCTGAAGGTTAATCCACATATAACTTGATTCGAACTACTGGTTTCAAAATTGTAGATCGAAAGACATTTCGACCTTGTCATTTCAATCACACGAAATTTCTACCAAGGATACTACAACCGAAATTCTTCAACCGCTCAAAATCCATTTACAGAAAGTAATGACTTCGTAAACACTATTATAACACTCGTATGTATATAGTAGGGAGGGTGGGTGTATACCCTCATCAGCACTTAGGCCACATGTGACCCATTTTACATCCTTCCGAGGAGTACATCCTATCGTCCACCCTGTCCTTTTCAGGAAGGTGGACAGGTTACTAGGAAACTCGCCGAACACACACTCTCAGTGGTAACCTTGAGGTATCTCACGGCGGCTCCGCGTAGGTTTTGGAAGGTGCAGCGACAGTACTGTCCTTGCGCGGCTTCATCAACCTCCCTAGGGTTCCCCCAATGGAGGTTTTCAAGTGAGGGCGCTTTCCTGCAGAGGCAGCCGGTTCCCTGCCTTCATTCACGGCGGAGATCTTGGCGTCTTTGCTGTTGGAGGTGGAGTGGGGGAAGAGGAGGGTGCACGTATAGTTGCTGAGACTCCTACCTCTTTCGCACTCTTTCTCCTTTTGGCCACGGCGCCGCAAATGCGCCGCCTTGGTGTTGGACCACAAGGTGATCTGCTATGTCCAGCCTCATTCCGAGCGGTAGATCGGGGTGGACACCGCCATAGATTGAGGTGAGTACTTCTGTCCAGCCTCGGGATTGGTTTTTGTTGTGCCTGTTTGTTTGTTTCATATATGTGTGTCTCCACGAGTAACAAGGGAATAGTAGGTAACCTCTGGCAGCGCCTCGCATTACCAGAGGAAGGCTGATTACAATGAGGTTTCGCCCAGTTTCCCAAGGGGATCATTCCTAACCGCATATCACCCTGCGGTCATTCAGCTGTCGGCACGATTCCTTACACCTTAGCATGGGTAGGCTGGTCCACAGTGGGATGTTTCGCAAAGGCTTCTGGAGAGTTTAAGTTTTCATCAGCCTACTTATTTCTGCCATTGACCAGGAGTCCGGCAATCCCGTCCGTAAGGCTTCCCAGACAGGGCCCCCAGTCCCCTGGCCGTTCCTCTATCAGCCACCTGGGGACGCGCCCAATAGATAGCCCAACCCACGGGACACTATAATACTTATTGAAAATTCAAGTGAAATCCCTGATGCCGGATATATCAAATATTTGAGTTTTTGTACATTTTTCTACGTTTGCCAACAATATTTAACTCAGAATTTAATTATGTTATTGTTGTTTCCGTAATAACTGCTCAATTTTCATAACATTTAGAAAACGGGCTACTGAAGTATGACAAACACGGATTTTTCCATTGAAGGTATTATGTCCACTCTCCAATCCAATGTTTGTCCATACTAGCCTACCCAGGATAGCCGAATAACAGTACCTCCATCCATGTCCTCTCTATGTAATGAAGCAAAGGTTCCAATTCAACTTCATGTTCTTCATAAAATTGAGATTTTACCAATTCATCAAACGACTGATGAACATCATGGACAGGTACAAAGGCAAGTACCATCAACATCCTGGCCAGAAAGGTCAGAAACCAAAATATTTTATGATATAGTAATTCCAATACCAATTGGAACAGCACAGAGAAGGAATTCCCGCCTCGACATAAGTGTCGCTTCATCTTCAAAGAGGAAGATCCTCTTCCTCTTTGAAGATGATCACTTGGTGATCGAAACACGTATCGAGGTGTTGAAAATAACGATTTGGTGTTGGAAAAAAAATCCAGTAATATTCATTACTACACCAAAGGTTCCAAACAGTGGGTCATAAGCATTACTTTTGATAACTGTTTGTAGTGAAACGACTAACGTTATCGATCACCAATAAACAATATAAGCGCGGGAAATTGAAAAACTAGGAAGGCACCACGTAGACTATAAGTTGAACTGCCGAGGTTGGTCGAAATGTCGGTTGAACTGTCGTCGGCTGAATTGACAAGGTTGAACTGGCGAGATTGTAATCCCCGCGGTTGACAAGTCGTGTCATCTATCTCTGGTATTATCGCAAAATAAAAACTATCGCGCGATAAAATGAATTCAAGCGACCTCACAAACCTGTCAGTCCTAATAACATTCACAAAGAAACATTGCTATCCACATTCAAGCAAACTAATATTATTATAATTGTTATAGAACAGACTTTAGGGGGAGAAGCTTTGTGGACGGAACAAGTGGATGAAGCTACTTTAGAAACAAGACTTTGGCCCAGAGCTGCAGCCTTTGCTGAACGAGTCTGGAGTGATCCTGCCGGTATTGAGTTTGACAGCTACGACGTTTCGACAAGAATATCCGCCCATAGAGATCGGCTGATATCGAGAGGATTCGAGGTTGCCGCGATATGGCCCTTGTGGTGTACACAAAATCCAGGACGGTGTTAGCTCTCAGATTTGGAATACGTTCTTTTTTGAGTTTTATGTTCGGGTTATGATTGAGCTGTTTGTAGTCAGTAGAAAAAAGAGAGAGAGATAGAAACAAAGAAATATATTACTTTTGGCAGAGTAACGATTTGATTCTCTCAGTTATTGCTGAAAAGAAATTATGATAATTGATTCGAAAAATTAGGATTTTATTGGTGATTTTGTTTTTGAATTTCTGCTTTTGAAAACTACAAAAATATCTATGAGAAAAGATAATCTACTCATATGAATTTATTCAAAATAAATCATTCAAGGAGTTTTTTTAGTTTTTTAATGTCAATGAAATTTTTTTAAGCACAATCACTACAGAAAAATTCTCAAGGTACTCTAAGAGCGGTGCCTATGCGTAAACAGCGATTCACATTGGATTTGTATCGCTGGAGATTGAATCTATTTGGAAAGGCGATCTCAAGAAGTTCATTCCACATAAACGCAGCAGTTCTCCAAATGCAAGAGTTCTCAAACAGTGAAGTTAGAGGTGTACTGAGTTGAACCTCAAAACAATGAGCAGCCACATTCCGTCACGTATTTTAGATTGGTGGAATCAAATGTGCCAAGTCACTTGAACACCTTCTGTGAAAGTACTCTTCTTGGCTCAAAGGAAATGTAAGCAGTCTATATAGTTCTGCCATTTTTCGTTGTGGGCAATGATCGGAGCTGCCAGGTGTATGACTATCAGTTCCCTCACACCCCCATACGACTGAGATAAATGATATTTGAACTGGCTAACCCAATAACCTGCACGTCTTCTTGAGTTCATTCAGGTTGAAGCCCAGCTCCCTTACCCTTTTGGCTGATTTTTGTCGAAGAAGGACAAATTAACCCAATAACCATTGAAGGTTATTCGGATATACATCCAGTGGGGCCAATGACTGATGGACCTGCCAGGGATATACTTGAAAGTGCTCATATTCTTTCTATATACATTAAACTATCAAACTGCAGATCCTCATCGACATTTATAGTAATTAGTACATCCAGAAATGGTAGTTCTTCGTCATTTTCATACTTGAATGTCATACTTGCAAATCTGTTGTTGATGCAAATAACAAAATCCTCTACCTTACTTCTATTCGTATCAAAAATGGAATGAAATACAACTCTTCCCTTGCTTCCATTTCAAATCTGCTCATGAACAGATTAACCATGAAAGGAGATAACGGGTTTCCCATTGCGGTACCATCATGTTGCCCATAAAAACAGTTGGCGAACTGGTAGCAATTTTGTTCGATAGTAATTTTGGCGGGCCGGATGTACCCTACTTCACCACTCATTTCATTAACATGGACCATCACTCACAAAAAACAATATCGTCCCATTTGACCCCGTACTCAATAAATATCCAATTGACAAAAAGAATCTATTATTCACTAACGTATGTGATTTGCAATGACGCAACACGTGTTTCGTCATTGTTTGGCGCCATTATATGGCGCCATACAATGGTGTTTTTAGAATAAGTTAGTTATGGATTTTCATCAAGTATTGGCCGATTCCATCATATATATTATTCACCAGTCAAGATTATTTTACAAATATGACAATCATAATATGTCAAGTAACGACAACCCAAGCTAAGCTGTAAGGAATCGTGCCGACAGCTGAATGGCGAATGGGTGAAACCACATTGTAATCAGCCTACCTCTGGTAATGCGGGGCACCTTCTCTTCTCTTCTCTGCCCCTGCAGGAAAGCTCCCTCACTTGTCCACCTCCACGGAGGGAAACCCAAGAAGGTTGAAGAAGCCGCGCAACGACAGTAATGTCTCTGCATCTTATAAAACCTTCACGGAGGCCACCGTGAGACACCCCAAGGTTGCCAAAGAGGGTGTGTGTTCGGCGAGTCTAGGCGTACACCTGTCAATATGAAGAAGATGTCTCCTAGTGACTTGTCCACTTTCCTGGAAAGGAAAGGATGGAAGACGACCTAGGAGGACAACTCTTCGGGAGGATGTACTGAGTGATATGGGTCTACACTCACCCTCCCTACTCCACAGATACAGAGATGTCTTTCTAACGACAACTTGCTCGTTTTTTGCGATAACCTCACTCATTTGTTACTGAGAAATAATAATACTATTAGCAGCATCATTCATCAAGAACTAATTGATGACTGAAATGAATGGAAATATCAACTATTGGCACCATCTTAGGGCAACGTCGGAACTACCCCATTTGGTCTAAAATACCACCAGATAACAAGACCATCATCTGTTTAATTCTACTAATATAATTTTCATCAAGTTCCCTTGTCTTGCCCCGTGCGAAAATTCGGAACTCTCTCGTCATATCCGCTGTCATAGGCATCCTCATTTTACATAATATAAAGGATTAAATGACATTCAAAAGGCGGTTGTCCTGCAATTGCAGTTGTTATTATCATTTAGATTTTTTGGCCGCCACCCCTAGATTTATGATTATGACGTGGCTTTTGTCCTTTATGACGAGATGGGAGTTTAAAACGATAACAACAAAATTAAAATGGGGGATGTGACGTGGTTAGGGGTGACAAGGAGGAAGATTGAATATTTTATTTCTATGTGTTTTGAAAAATGAGTGTACGCAATTCAATTGAATGTGGTTTCAAGTTTCTTGGAGCTGCTGATGAAATATTTCATTTCAGGATGAGGGTTTGAATGCAATTCAAATTCAATATTAATCTGTAAAACTTTTTTCTGAGAGTATCCAACAGAAATTTCAGGACCAGCTGAACTTCAGCAATGTTTTATGTTTATAGACAGACAAATTCGTTTATACAGACTGTGTCGAAACCAAATGGAATAAATTCATTATTTTGGTTACTGTACATATTTGAAAAAATCCCGAAACACGTCAAATTTAAATTATAATATAATATAACGTAAAAATGCCACCCTCACCTTCAACCCCCTTCGAATGACAGGTACAAGCCCCAATTTTTTTAATGGGAAGTATAGGTTTGTGATATATTGTTTGAGAGGTGTAATGCAAATCGTTATGAAATGTACGAAAAAGAACTATGGATGTTAACGAAGTTGAGTAACTTAAACTCAAATACTGACAACTAATGTTGTAACATACAAAACAAGTCGACAAGGCATTTTAAACTAACGTTGCCATGAAAAATATTTACAGTTTTCAAACACCTAAAAAAAACATTGCTATGGTTTCTGCTTGCTTTCTTATTATCAATACCTCAACATGAAATGGGTTTTGAGTATCACCACTTGATTTTAATTTATTTCATCTTAGTTGTTACAACAAACTTGAAAACAATAACAGTTTTGAATACAGAATGAAGAGACTTTTTAAACGATATATCACAAGCCTATACTTTCCATTTCAAAAATTGGGGGTTGTACCTATCATTCGATGAGGGTTGAAGATAGGGGTAGCATTTTTTCGTTGAGGTATATCTAATTATAATTTAAGTTTGAAGTGTTTTGGGATTTTGTTAAAATATGTAGGTACCGTAACCGGCTTTTACACACTGTATAATTGGGTGAGTTTTTTATAGTACAGTTCAAAAACTGGAAAAGAGTTCTTCATGTCACATCTTGAACAGTGGGCTACTAAAATATTTTCAAGTGAAAATGAAAACTTTAGGGAAATAATAGTTCTGGCTTCTCCATCTCTATAAAAGAAGTGGGAACTAAACATCTTTGTATTGAATTCATTTTGAAATGAATTTCATTCTTTCTTTCTTTGGAAGATCCCCATATTTTTCTCGTATAAAGATGGAGAAGCAGGAGAATTTCAACAAGATTTCTATGACTAGAATTGAATCAAATAAGCAAATGAATGTTATTACGCACAGTCATTGATGACATGAGTAGATCTAAATCATTAGTGGCATAAAGTCGTAATTTTCTGAAGCTCTTCATTCATTGTCTATAGTCGTTTACCTTCAGTTCTTGGGTCAAAGTTCGGAAGTCTCTGTTGGGAGATCCTGTTGTGTACCAATCCTGTGAATGATATCTGATTCCATAACAAATGTCCGGAGCACAAACTGAATAGGAAGAAGTGTTTTTGTATAATGTTCACGTAAAGGTTGTAGTTTCATTTTTGATATAACTGTTTACCAAGTCAATATATTCTACTGATCTATACAGGTATCCAACCTTTTATAAAAATTCAGTAAAAATACTGACATTTTTCAAAACCGCTACTTTTGTAACCAAATATGTTTGGGCTACAACATCGAATATGTTCAATACGTTCGACCAATATATTTTTATTTCAATGATTCCATTGGGTCCACATTCTGTCCAACATTTTCTTTGAAGTTTATGAAGTTTTGAGGGATAGTTTTTGAAATACGCGCTCTTAGGGACCTTTAGTGGTGGAAATAAAGGTTTCGGCTCCTAATTTGTCGGAATCTTCCAATGAAAGAAAGAAATCATTCGATTTCCAGAAATTAACTCTACAACGATAGTTGCTTCATGTATGTTGATGCCAAGATAAAGTACTGTCGAGGGTAATGCCAAGTAATTTTACAGTTTTGTTAGCTGAACCTACAGTGCTGAATTCAAGATTTTGAGTTTTGTCACTATTCAACATCAATTTATTCGATAGAAAGCAAGTATTGGCTTGATTTTCAACTTCTTTCATTACTTGTAGATGATGATTGATCGCTATGTATTGAAGTTGTGTCATCTGCATAGAGAATGGACTTGGAGATATGAAATTACATGTCATTATTATAAATAACAAAGAGCAGGAGCCCAAGTATTGAACCTTGTGGAACACAGTGCTCAACAGGTTCAAAATTTGATATAACACATAACTTCTTTTGCTACAATTATTAACGTTTTACTAATGAAATCATATCAAAATTATAGAGAATGTGTTTTCCGCTTTCTAATATGTAACAGTACAAACGGTCAACACAAATAATTCAATGCAGAACGCCTCTGTTCCGAGAAAATGATGACCCAAAACATTTCTCAAACACGAAAGGATTCATGTTTTGTGTCCATCGAAGAAAGGTACCAATTTGTCAACAAGAATTTCACGCTTGAATGTAGTCTATTACCGAAAGTTAATACAGGGATGAAGTGTTTTGTTCGGGACATCACAAGTTCCGACTTCTGTTTGGCGAAAGCGAACAATGCTCATTAGTGATGGCTTTTCTGGCTTTACTTACCTGACATTAGGAGGACAATGGCGAGATTTCATCTCGACGAAATCTTTTACTTTTTCAGTTTCCGATATCGGATTAACATTTGAAAAAGATCGGATGTGTCTGCTGCTACTGGATTTGATTTGGTTCTAGGAAAATA